ACCCCGCCTCCAGGTGGCCTCGGGGTGAGACCCCGCCTCCAGGTGGCCTTGGGGTTTGACCCCGCCTCTAGGTGGCTTTGGGGTTTGACCCCGCCTCCAGGTGGCCTCTGGGTGAGGCCCTGTGATCATGAATTGAGCCAAAAGCTTAACCAGCAGAGCCTCCCGGGCACCCTGACATAAGGTGTTCTTAAGATTATTCAAATTATTCTAACTTACACCACTTGCTGCCCTCAGGGTGGCCCTTCATTTTGTACGTGACACCTGCATCCTCGCACCGATGCCTGGTGGAGGGTTCAGGGGCGATGTGGATGCCCCTCCCTCCCCTCCTGCACGGTTCTGACTGCTCCCCCATACTTCCCTTGGGGACGGGGATGGTACTGGGACGGGACGGCAATGGGGACGGGGACTGGACCGGGATGGGGATGGGACAGGGACGGGATGGGGACAGTGACTGGACGGGGACTGGGTGGGATGGGGACTGGACGGGGACGGGACGGGGACAGGACTGGGGGAGCAGCGGGTCTAAAAACGGAAGTGGGAGGTGCAGGCGGGTCACACGGAGCATCCCGGTCCCCGTGCAGCTGCCACCGCGTCGCCCCCACGCTCTCCACCCTGTAGATAGCCTCCCGCCCGGCCGTCACTGGACATTGTCGTGTCGTTTCTGTCGTAGGGCGGAGAAGCTGGAGCATGGCCGTGAGCAGCGGGAACCGCGATGTCGTGCTCCTGAGCAGTGGCGGCCCCGGCGCCCTCACGACCTGCAACGGGGACCTCGCCGCCCACCAGCTCTCCGCAGAAGCGCCCGGAACAAAAGCGTGCGTGAACGGATGCCCACGGGTCAACGGCTCGGCGAAGTCATCCCGTCTGGCCGCCGACGTCCCGCAGCGAGCGCCTGCCATGTGCCGCTGCCCCGCGCACCCGCCCTGCCCCCCGCCCGCCACCCCAGAGCCCCAGCCTGACCCTGGCCTGGGCCCCTGCTGCCCACGGCCGCACTCTGACTTCCCGGCACCCCCCTGTCCACACCGCACGCCCGCCTACCAGCCTGCCTGCGGCCTGCAGCCGGCCTGCTTCTGCCCGCACTGCCCGTGGCCCGGCCACTTCCCACACCAGCCCGGGCCACAGCACACGGCCAGCGTCAGGTGAGTGTCCGGCTCCCCAGAAGCAGGGACACGTGTGTCAGAGAAGGGGGACCAGTGCAGCCGAGATACACTGTACCGATCCCGTCTGCCCAGTTCCCACCCAGACCCTCCCTTACTTCCTGCCTGCGGGGCGGTTCCCCGTTCCCCGTTCCCCGTGGCCCTGGCCTCCAGAGGTCAGTCGAGTTTGTGTTGTTCGACATTTCTGCCTCCTTGTGGGGGACACGTTTGTGATGTGGCTGCCCAAAAGTGACCAGCCTTTATGACAGAGAAGCAGGAAACGGCTTCCTCCTGCTCCCTGCGTTCGTGTGCTTGGGGTGTGTGCAGAGCCGACCTCCCCGCGCGTGCGGGTGGGACCCACATGTGTGCAGCACAGAAGTTGGAAAGCTACGCGTTGGGAAGCATTCGGGGTCCGGCGGACTGGAAAGCCGCAGGCACGTTGGTGTCCTTGCCGGCTCCCCCAGTCCCGGCTGGGTTTGTCCCGCGGGCACCGCAGGCGAGCGACGTCAGTGTATTGGGTGAATGTCCAGTGGGTGCAGAGACCAGGTATCCGCCCCAGTTTTAGGTGATGAGTTTTACAGGAGCAGGAGAGCGCCCTCCTTGGCTGACGCGCGTCTCGTTTACCTGCGGGGGAACCATCCGTCTGGCGCGCAGTTTGATCAGCGTGGACGCGCGTGCGGTCCACACCTTGGCCCGCTTGGAACGTTTCTTTCTGGGGCGACCGGGGAAGGCCCCTCCTGCCGCCATCTGGCTCCCGCTCTGCGTTGGTTCCGCCGGCTCGGGGGGCTCTTGGGACTGGAGCCCTGCAGGGTGTGTGACTTCGCATCGGGCAGTTCGAGCCCAGCTCGGTGTTGTTAAGGCTCCTTGAGTGGCCAAGTGCACTGGTTTCCCTTTTTGCTGTGGAGCAGCTGCCCCCTGTCTGCGTGCGACACATTCGCCCTTGCTTAAAGAGTCCGTACAGACTTGTAGTTACAAGTCCCAGCACGGAGACTGTAGCTGGTGGTACCGTATCGTGTGTTTGACTTTTGTGTGTTTTTTTAAGGTTTTTATTTTTAAGTAATCTCTGCCCCCACCGTGGGGCTCAAACTCACAACCCCAAGATCCAGAGTCACACGCTCCCCAGACTGAGCCAGCCGGGCACCCATGAATTGCCTATTTGACGGTTGCTAGCAGAGTAGATCTTAAAAATTCTCACGGCAAGAAAAAACTTCCACGGCTCTATGTGGTGACAGATGATAACTAGACTCTTTGGGGTGCTGGTTTCACAGAGTGTACAAATCAAATTAATTCATTTTGGCGCTCACCAGAGCCCTTTCCCCGGGTGGGGGTGGGAGGGGCTCGCGGAAGCCACGTCCCGGGCGTGTCCTCCCAGCGTCGTGTGGTGTGACCAGCTTTCCGCTTTGAGTTAAACGGTGTAAGTAGTTGACTTCCAAGTCGTGTGGCCGTCGATACTGACGCTTTAGAATCAGCAGTTACGTGGTTGCAAGGCGTGAGGGGAAACAGTTGTACGTTTTGAGGCTGCTCCCTCCTTTAAAAAACTTCAGGGAACGTCAAAGCCACGAGCAGGGAACCGATTCTCTTCCTATGGCAGGTGTGCCAATATGTTCAGGACCGAACATTCCTCAAAAACTTACTTTTAACGAGAGACTCCGGTGTGCATGGAGCTTGAAACAGAATGGCGCTAAAAAAAAAAAAAAAAAAAGATCAAGATGCGGTATTTGTCCATCGAGACAAGTTACAGCAAAAAGCGTGGACTGTTTCGGGAGAAACCTCATAGTTAGGATTTTTTTCTCAAGAGTTTGAGCGTCCTGGTGAACTGTTTGTAACAGACGTAGCACCTTCAAAGATGCGTGTAAAAGCGGGTCTGTTTCCAGGTCTGTCTGTGACCACTTTATCGTAAAACCCGTGGAGCCAGACAGAGCTCCTTCCTTATTCCGTCCGTACGCTTGCTAATATGTATCATTGGCAGTTTTTCCTGAGTGCTCCCCCGTGCGGGGCCTCAAGGACGTCATTCTGAACAAGGCGAGACCACACGGAGCCGTAGGGCGGTGGGAAGGGACACGGGAGAGCAAACTGGCAGCTGTGGCGTTGCGAGGCGTGGGCGGCCGTGCGGACACGGGCACGGTTTGTCCGGCGACTTGCCCAAAGCTGGGAGCCCAGCTGCCGCCCCGCTCGGTGTGCCTGGGGCCGGGAGGAGGGGAGCGTGGCACGCCCTGAGCCCCACCCCCGGGGCCTTGCAGGGCACGGGAAGGGGACCTCTGGATTTCATCTGCGGCCCGTGGGTGGGCATCATAGATTCGTGTGTGTGCGTAGACCTTTCTGTTGCAGACAGTACACCCGGCGTGCGGTCGGTCACCGTAGCCGCTTTAATGGGCACCGCTCAGTAGCAGCACGTACACCCGCACCGCTGTGAAATCACCACCACCATCCGCCTCCGGAACATTCTTCATCTTCCAAACTGAAAATCCATACCCACAGAATGCTGGCTCCCCTGGTCGCCCCCCCAGCGCCTGGCAGCCGCCGTCCTGCTCCCCGTCCTGGACGTGGACGCGGCCGCTGGCACCTTGTATGCGGTCACACGGTATTTGTTTGTCCTTCCGTGACTGCTTTCAGTCCACGTGGTGCCCCCAGGGTTCATCCAGGTTGGAGCGTGTGTCACAGTTCCATTTGCAGAGCTGGGTGATATCCCACGGCATGCACGCACACTGTGCGTGCCCACGCGTCTGGTGACGGCCACGTGGCCTGCTTCCCCCTTTTTTCTCCTACGGATGATGCTGCCGTGAACCTGGGTGGACAAACACCTATTTGAATTACTGCTTTTAATTCCCTGGGGGCACACTCCCAGAAGTGGAGCTGCTGACTCAGGTGGTAATTCTGTACTTAACATTTTGAGGAACCACCAAACTGCTCCCTCAGCTGCTGTGCTGTTCTGTTCCCCCCAGCAGCGCATACTCTTGACAACACGTTATTTTACAATAGCTATCCTAACAGGTGTGATATTATGGGGTCTTAAGCATAAAAGATACACAGGCACATTTGCATTTTAGAGAAGCCCATGGCCTGCATTGTGGGGGGTGGACTGACGTGGACGGGAACACGTGGGCCGGCACCGTCGTGGACAGGAACACCACCGGCGTGGACTGACGTGGGCCGGCACCGTCGTGGACGGGAACACCACCGGCGTGGACTGACGTGGGCCGGCACCGTCGTGGACGGGAACACCACCGGCATGGATGGGGACACCACAGGCATGGACTGACATGGGCCGGCACTGTTGTGGATGGGAACACCACCAGCATAGATGGGAACATCACCGGCATGGATGGGAACACCCCTGGCATGGACTGATGTGGGTCAGCATTGTCGTGGACGGGAACACCACCCGCATGGACTGACATGGGTCAGCACTGTCGTGGATGGGAACACCACTGGCATGGATGGGGACACCACCGGCATGGACTGACGTGGGTCGGCACTGTCGTTGGCAGAAGGACTACCAGAATACCTGTTGCAGTATTTCCGGTAAAAGTGGAATTTAGAGAAAGTTTCATGCTAAAAGGGTTTACAAGGGAGAATCTACAGGATTTGGTGAACGATTGGATACGGAGGCAGGAAGGGAAGAAGAATCATGGCTGGTGTTCAGTTTCATGGCCAGAGCAGCTGGGTGGATGGGTGGTGAGACCATTTGCTCCAGCGGGAGCAGTTGGAAGGAGGCAGAGCTGAGCGGCGTTGGCCGTGGCGCAGGGTGTGACCTCCCTGCCCCATGAGGCAGCAGCACTGCTGGGGGTCGTCTTCAGAGGAGGACTGAAGCCCTTGGTCTGGGCCCGGCACGTCCTGACTTGCCTAGCTGTGCTCCAGGCGAGGCGTCGTGTCTCTCAAACCAGGGAGACTCCCAGGAAGCGAGCAGAGGCGTGGCAGTAGCTCCTGTGTCGGGGACAGTGCACAGGACGTCCTCGCTGAGAAATTCTGGAAATGAGGCTGCCGCGTGGTGCTCTGTGCCTGCGCTCGTACCCTGCCCGGTGTGGGAAAGCCGTGGGAGCGGCGGTTCTGGCCACAAGTCTGTACCATGAACTTGCACTCGGAATCTCTTCGGTTTCCTTTTGTGGTTTATGCATGTTGCTTTTTTATTGATTGTCTCAAATACTCCGGAGTTCTCAGCTAGGGTTGTGCATGTGTCCATGACTTGGTAAGGGCAGACGTGCCCACAGGCCTTCGAAGGGGGTCCTCGAGGCTGCCGGGCCTGCAGTAGCCACGTGTGCGGACGGGAAGTCACGTGCTCTCTGCACCCAGGCCACAGATGGGCCCGCGTGTGGGTGTGTGTTCTGTGTTGTAGGTTTTACTTGTTTCTAAAACATGTAAACCATAGAGAACGTTCTCAACACGCAGTCAGGGAGAAACTGTAATTTTATCCTGGCCCCCCTGTTGGCGTCTGTCCCTTTCCTTACCTTCTGGAAAAAGGTAGGTTCGGTTTTCTCCCTTCTCGGCGCTTTAGGCTCCAACACGTCTTTCTGAAGATCATTGTATCAGTCACCTGCGTGAACTTTGTTGCTTTGTGACGTTATCTGTTACCGTCTTGATTGATAAAATCGCTGCCAGGATCACAGTATACCCTGTTTTAATCCCGTTTATCACCAGATATCAAGTAGCTTACATAGAACTCACTTTAAAGCTTCCAGTTCACTTGCGGGTTCCCACCGGCATACCCACGGTCTGGCCATTAATTCGTGTCTGATAGGGAACACCCAGGAGTTCAACAAGGCAGGAAGTAAGGTCTTCCTACCAAGAGACAAGGCCTCCACCCAGCTGGCCATCAGAATCACAATAAACGAGATAATGATGATGTCCCCTTTGCACTAGCGAAAAATACGGAACTCTGGGCCATCAGAGGAGGGCAGGGGACCTGTGGGTTGATGGGCCAAGGGCTTGCACGGCCCTCAAAGGGTGACCATCCAGGCCGCGGTGTCGGGACTGGAGGGAAGGGGCGAGGGGAGTGTGTGCACACC